TGTATATCAGCCTACTTAAATATGGACAATGGTATTCATAAAGTTTTCTGGACTGATTTTTAAACCATTACAGTACTTCAAGAATATCCCACTGGTTGTTTTCAAATTGTGTCGTTTCTTATTAAGAAAAGCATGAATCACTGAATTATGGCCTAGAATATTGGTATTGTTAAAGATTGTAAGATATCATGAAGAAAAGGTGTTCTCTGCATTTCTTTCCTATATAAAATACTGCTTGTCTTAATGTAAAACAAAGCACAAGACATGGAAAAAATTTTATTTTATGGTGACACAGTTATTGTTTCACTTTAAAAGGTAAAGATGAGGTGAAAATGATAGAATATATTTGAAATCAGTATTTCAATTTTAAAATGTGACTTTGAAAAATAAAATGTTATTTGAAGAGACAGAGAGTTGTTCAGTCAAATTTCATTGCAAATTTCTGGTTCCACTTCCATAGGTTGAAGCCCTTTACATCAACCATACTAAAATAACAGTTCATCTGAAGCTATGCCCAAACAGATCAAAAAGATATATCTTGAAAATGCATGAGTTTGGAAAAGAAAGGGGGAAAATCATAGCTACCCTCTGTCCACCTGTCCTGGTTTCAGTTGCAACAGAGTTAATTTTCTCTCTAGTAGCTGGTAAAGTGCTGTGTTTTGGAAATAGTATGAGATGAATATTGATAACTCACTCATGGTTTAGTTGTTGCTAAGTAGTGCTTACACTGGTCAAGGACTTCTCAGCTTCCCATGCTCTGCCAGGTGTACAAGAAGCTGGGAGGGGGCACAGCTGGGACAGCTGCCCCCAGCTGGCCAAAGGGATATCCCAGATCATGTGACGTCATGCTCAGTATATAAGCTGGGGGAAGAGGACAGAAGGGAGGAACATTTGGAGTGATGGTGTTGGTTTTCCCAAGTAACCTTCACGTGATGAAGCCCTGCTTTCCTGGAGATGGTCTGCCCATGGGAAGTAGAGAATGAATTCCTTGCTTTGCTTTGCTTGCGTCCGTGGCTTTTGCTTTCCCTATTAAACTGTCTTTATCTCAACCCATGAGTTTTTTCACTTTTACTCCTCTGATTCTCTCCCCCTTCCCATTGTGGGGGGGTGAGAGAGCGTCTGTGTGGTGCTTAGCTGCCAGCTGGAGTTAAACCACAACACCACCTCAACTCCTACTATTCAATTTATTTGGAAGGAGGCAGTAAATGTTCAGACCTGTCAGAAAAGAGATGTAATATTTTAAGATTTGCTCTTTTTCTCTTAAATTGATCATGTGGTTTGGAAAAGACAGCAGACTGAGTCACTTAGTAGGAAAATGATCCAGACAATCAATGCTTTTCATGCAGTCCATCTAAAGCTGGTCATGGTTTTCACTAAATCTCTACAAAGCTAAACTTAGTAGCTATAATCAAAGAATCATAGAATCATAAAATCATAGAATATTTTGGGTTGGAAAGGACCTTTAAAGGTCATCTAGTCCAACACCCCCTGCAATGAGCAGGGATATCTTCAACTACATCAGGTTGCTCAGAGCCCTGACCTTGAATTTTTCTAGGGATAAAAGGGTACCGGTGAGCTTTTGGTATAGCTGCCTTGAGTACAGAGAAGGTTAAACAGCTGTCCAGCTTTCCTGGTCTGTCAGAGTAGGGTTGCTGCAGGCTAAAGAATGACAGATGCCAGTTGCTACCATCACAGTGCACTGGCAACAATATCGCACCAGTCGAGACTCCCTGGTTCACATCCATAAGCTGGTCTCATGACTAGAGAGTCAAGGGGTGATCAGTAAGTGGCTCCCCATCAGGGAATCTAATCTCATCAGGCAGAGATATTAATTGCTGTACTATATGCCACTATAGGCCAACTCTGCAATTAATCCCTTCAGGCAGATTTTAATTTTTGAGCGCAATTTTATGTGTAGTAGTCCTGGTTTTGGCTGGGACAGAGATAATTTTGTTCCTTGTAGCTGGCATAGTGCTGTGTTTTGGATTTAGTATGAGAAGAATATTTATAACACACTGATGTTTTAGTTGTTGCTAAGTAGTGCTTACACTGATCAAGGACTTCTCAGCTTCCCATGCTCTGCCAGGTGCACAAGAAGCTGGGAGGGGGCACAGCTGGGACAGCTGACCCAAAACTCACCAAAGGGATATTCCATACCATATGGCATCATGCTCAGGGGGCATTAGTCAGGGGGTAGTGGGATCTCTGCTGAGACGAGCTAGGCATCGGTCTGTGGGTGATGAGCAATTGCATTGTGCATCACTTGTTTTGTATATTCTGTATATTCTATTACCATTATTATTGTTATGGTTATTATTTTATTTTATTAAACTGTCTTTATCTCAACCCACAGATTTTACTTTTTTTTCCCTGAGTCTCCCCCCCATCCCACTGGGGAGAGGGGAAGTGAGCAAGCGGCTGTGTGGTGTTGAGCTACCTGCCAGGTTAAACCACAACAATAGCTGAGTAATTATAGAGAAAGCAATTTCTTCAACTTTATTCTGGAAATACAAATGTACATCACAGACCTTGGTGCAGTTAGAGGAAAATAGACTATAGGGGAGAAATAAAAAAGAAAAAAAAAAAAACAAAACAAAGAAAAAAGATAGTAAGATGAGTAAGATGGACCCAATTTTCTTTTATCTAAAGACATCTAAGTACTGTCCTCATCTTGTGCAGTATTAAGGTTTCAGCCCTACCATAAGGATCCTTATATCATTAAAGGATTATGTTTAATCTGCCTATGTCCACAATCCCCCTTTCAATGTAAAATTACTTGCTTCCAGTTGAGCATAATTTAAAAAAACATTCTTCTATTAATTCTTTTTTTTTAACCTTTTAAATTTTGTGTGCATATTTCATCCATTATGTTTTATAGACCTTTCAGTTTTCATTATGATATGCCATCTATTTTTCAAAAGCCAGTCTTTCCTCCTTGCAGATCGTCCCTAACTCCAAAGCTTCTTGCCTGTTTGTTTTCTCATTGAATCTTGGCATTCAGTTTATGCAGGTGTCTAATAAAACATTTATTTGTAAGAGTCTCCAAACCACTTTTGGGTTTTTGTTAAACCCTTTTAATGCTATGATACTTTATGTAATCTTGAGCTGCTCCCAGTACGTGCTACTTCATTGTTCCCACACAGGTGCTGACCAGGCACCGCTCTATCCTACTAATTACTCTCCTTCCATCAGGTTTGTGACATGCCTATTGTATCAGGGTAGTTGTTTGATGCCAAGCACTCTAGCATCCTATTTTATTTTTAGGATGTCAGAATTCATGTTGTTCAACACCAATAAGTTTTAATTTCAGCCACTCAATACTGCATGGCCCAGTCAGCAGGCATTTAGGTATCTAATTTGCCTGCCTTATTTACTGTAATTATTATTTTATTTTCCTCCTGGCCTTTTCAGAAACACTTTAAATGTGAGTCATACACGCTTCAGTCCTGTCAACTCAAACCAGATGCTCTTCTGTGGCTGTCAATTTTTCTCAACTATCAGTTCTCTGTGACCTTTTTAATTTTGAGTTGTAACAGTCTGGTTCCAACCTTTCCTTCCAGATCAGATCTTCTTTCCATAGGGTTCAAGAATTTCTGACTTGCCTGAATCTTTCCTCCTTGCATGATTATCTCTTCCATGCATGAGACTCCAGATCTCTAACTACATCCTAGACTTCTCATGTGCAACTGGTAGCATTTCAGATGATGACAGTCTTTAGTTTCACCCTTCTGCATAGCATCCTGAGGTAAACATCAAGAACACAGCATATCTACCTGTGACTAATAGCTTTTCTCCTACAACCCAAGTGCCTTAACTACATAACTACTAAAGTGTGCAACCTTCACATGCAGCAGGCAAATTACAACTCGGTCCTTAGACCTCAGTCTTCAGACTCAAGCTATATACTTAAGAGCGGAAACTCTCCAACTACTACCACCTCCATAACTCTTTATTTCCATTTTATTGAGAAGATTCTACCCACTTTTATCTATTTTGGAGAAGACATTTGGATGTTTTTATTAATTTATATTCTGTTTTGAAGGAATGATTAAGTGTGCTCTTCTCTAACCCTACTCCACACTTATTAAGCTAGTTAGTAAACAGAAGAAATTTTCATAACCATAGAAATAGAAAACACAATGTAGAAGGCAAGATTGCCCAGCTACTGCCCTTTTTCCTTACCTTGGGCAATCTCTTTCACCCTGAGACACAACTTGAAATAGCCTTGCCAAGACTATTCGCAGCATCCTATGGCTCCTGTGGGAGTCCCTGGCTCTGAAAGCCCTCAGAGTAGCCTCAGCTGCCTCAGTGAGCCCTAGACAGTCACACAGAGCACACAGCCATCTCCTGCTCCTCACACCAGTCTTGCACCCCTTCCAGTTTTTTCTCTTCCCAGGAGATAGCACCTATTTTTCTTTCTCTTCTTCCTCCTAATCTTCACGAAGAAAACTACCACATGTTGTTTGGCAAACCCTGCTTGCTTGTTAAGGTTTCGCATTGCAGTATCTTAAGACATACTTCATGGAGATGGGGAGCATCAAAGTTCAATTGGTTTGTGAGCTATTAAAGTGCCATTACCATAATGACAGAGAATGTTAAAGATCAAGTGACAGTCTTGTAGAACCAAATATATAAATCTCTGTTGTAGACTTTTCTTATTGTATATTTCAAAATACATCTCTTGACGAAGCCAATTACAGTCTCTGGCAACCAGCCTCTTCATTCTTTCTTCATAGTAATGCACTAGCTGTTTTCTAAAGAATAGCCTAAAATGTACAGACCAGTTTGTCACACTTCTAATTAGTAATATATGCCTATAATATCTTCTTTAACCCATTTGGTTTATACAAGGTAAAGATCTAATTCACTTCATACTGAACTAGATTTTGACAGGATGCATATTATTTATTCACCTGCTCATAGATGAATATGTATCTTTCAGGAAATTAAAAGATCTCAATATCTATTTGCTCGGTTTTTCACATTATTTTTAAAAACTAATTTGACATTATGTTTCAAAATACTGCAATAAAAATTATAGAATAACATAAAATTAAGAATAATATAAAATTAAGAATAATTGTAAATTTCCAAATAAAATTGCAACAGAAATTACATATTTCTACGAGGTATTTCACTGTCATACTTTGGCATACTCTGATAGAAGAGATTCTGACCTGTAGTTGTTTTACTAGGATTTCTGATTCAGTTTTCTGGACTCATGAAATGGCACTTACAATTTCATATTTGGTCTGGTACATATCAGGGAGGGGAGAAAATAATAATTTCAAAAATCAATGTACGTTAGAAAAATAGTGAAAAATTCTAAAAGAAAATCAGTATTAAGAAATTTAAAGAAGACATTAATAACCTTTAAATATTTTCAAATAGACTGGAATCCATTTTACTCTTGAAAAGAATACATAAAGTATTGCAGAAAAGTTAAACTAATCTGGGCTTCTGTAGTTTCTGAAAAACAAGTAGAATATCTAACAACATGCTTGTACTATGAAGGAAAAGATAGATCATAACAAGTATTTGATCCTAATTTAGCTCAGGCTCATGGAATGAATGACGTATTTGGATCTCTTCCAACCCAACACCATTCTTCTTTTGTCCAGCATGCTGTATTTATTTTTGTGGAATTTTTCGATTTTACATTACAAAAGGTTTGAAGCATCCTGCAATCTTTATTTTGACAAATTACATCTGTATTATACCATGGCACACTGAATTGTACCAAACCCCATGAGAAATAACCAGTTGCTCAAACATAATACAGGCACCATCTCATCAGGAAATTTTCAAAAGAAATTATGGATTTTGAAGGACCATGAGCTGAACACCAAGCAAATACGTTACTGGAAGGTGTCTAGGTTCCGCAGCATAAGAAAGAAAGCTAAGTCATGATACAGGACCATTGATATATATATATGCCTCTGCTAGAAATATCACACAATTACTTTTTCTCCGTGTTTATCATCTCTATGTTTATCTGATCAATTTTTTTTCTCACCATGAATATGTAATACTGAACTGCTTGTAGATTTCACTTTCTTTGTAATTTACTGAATTTAGGGAGGATTCTAAAAAGGAAGTTGTTAAATACCTGAACAGTAGAATGTCCAGGAAGATCACTATGTAATTTTGCCATACATTACACTGCCTGTCTTAACAGGTGAGGAAATCAAAGTGTTATTATGATATGTAAGATTATTCTATTCTATTCTATTCTATTCTATTCTATTCTATTCCATTCCATTCCATTCCATTCCATTCCATTCCATTCCATTCCGTTCCATAAAATCATAGAATTCTTGAGGTTGAAATGGACTTCTGGAGATTGTCTAGCCCAACCTCCTTGCTCAATGCAAGGTCAATTAGAGCAGATTGCCATTATCAGACTTGTGCGACAAATGTGAAAAGTTGCACTCATACAACTCTAGCCTACATTCTAAACATTTGCCAATGATATCTTCATAGTAGAACAGGAATACACATGCAGGTGAAAGGAAATGTCCCCACTAACTCTAAAGAAAATATAATACCATTGTACTTGCTCTTCTTCAAGACAGATTTAACTGGAAATATACTTTAAAATGTCATGGAAGTTCCCAGGTTAATATCTATGCAGCTCATTTATGGAGTTAAAATGCTCAATCAAGGATTTGATTCCTAATGACTTTGCCTTACCATCAATGACTATGTTCTTCATCAGTGCAGTTGTGACTTCCATTCAGGACGGGAGAGTATAATGTTACTTCAAAATTATCTGTGAACATCATTTAAAACTGCTCTTCTCAACTCTTTTACTCTCCTTTCTGACTATAATGTTACATGATGCAACCACAGTAAAATTGTTAACTAGTGTTATGGGAAAACAAAAATATTTTATCACCATAAAAGATTTAATTACATTTTTTATATACCAGTATCCAAAGCAGACCTTGATCTTTTCACCTCAGGGAGCCATTGTAAGTATAATTCCTAGCCCATTGTAATTACTTATTATATGTTCTACAAAATACACATTTGTTTTTCTGGCTTCTGTATGCAAAAGCCCCTCTCAGCCATCACAGTTGCTGTCACTACTATCTTTATAAAAGCAGCTGTGTCACTATTTTCAGTGTGACAGACATCTGATCTCGTTCTCTTTCTAGGAAGAGTCACAGACCCTGCTTGAACAGTATGTCATAGTCTTATGAAAATGGATGTTGGAAAATCAGATACTTCACATACACCAGAATATTTTAATACAGGTTTTTCACTCTCATCAAGTATGAAATGTAAAAATGTCTCATGACAGACTTATCATCTGTTCACAACTCAGAGTATCACAAGAGTCTCAGAACCGTTAAGATGAAACAAAATATTTTTGCACATGTTTAGACATACCACAGTTTTTATGAATGCCTGTCTCCAGTAACAAAAATGTACCTCTGTTGAATAGATATTTCAAACTTTCGAAAATTAACAGCCCATTAAAGCCAATTTGTGAACAAAGTCTGAACCAAAGTTTAAATATTCAGTCATAAGCACTGAACTTCTTCACCTCTTCTAAAGTGATTTATTATGTGTACGTATCAGCATAACATTACCACTTCACCATCAAGAAGTACTGCATAAGTCACCTGTGTACCAGCTTAAGAAATTCTGAAATGAGCCTAATTAAAAAAGATGAAGACACTTTGTTTCTCAGGGACTGGAAATTATTTGCCTTCCATAACTCTTGGAAGAGGAAGAGATGAGCAGCACACCAGTGTCTGTGAATCATGAGGTATTGACTTCACAAAAAGGCAATCTGACTTTCTATCAATCTTATAATAAGGGAAAGACTTTCTGTTCATGCAGATCATGTGGGGTGAAAAAAATCACTAAGCTCATTGTTGCCCAAACGTAATTATATAATTTGAATTATTTACTAAAGTAATTCATGCAATAGGTTATGCCCGTCCTCCAAACAGATGCTCAGGACACTCTTTGCCCCAAAGATATGTTACTAGTTCTACATGAAAGCCAGGTTCTCAGTGGTAAAATGTTTGGTGCACATAACAATACAATTAAATCTTAAGCACATAATGATACTACTAAATATTAACATATGCATTTTTGTGTATTTTTATGTATGTATTCCATGTTACTGGAATCAAGTCCAATGGTTGTGACTAAAGCTGACAAGGTTCCTTAATGTCAGTATACAAGCCACCTGATTATGAATAATTCATGAGACAGTAAAACTCCTGGTTCTGACCATAGATACAGAGAGAAATAGAATGCCTGGACAGCAGACCAACCTCCTTCTGAGAGCAGACCAATTAAGGGGAAACCCCTGCCTCCAGTCAAACCCCAAATGTAATCACTTTCAAACCATTTCAGTATTATTGATGTTATGAAGTACTTGTAATGCAAACTCATCAAATCACTGTACATTCAAGAACAATTAACAATTCCTAGGTGACAGTCTTCATCACATGAAAGAAACAGTTTTCGAGATCTTTTCCTCCTTTGAAAACTAGCCCATTTTTCTTTTCTTGTCAGAGTATTAGCTGTCTATGGCAAGGCACTGTCAATGTGGGGGCTGCGGGGCAGCCTCTGTGGAAAGACATCAGAGGCTGTCTCATTCAAAGCCACAGCAGGTTCCAGCCAGCTCCAGTGGACCCACCATAGGACACAGCTGAGCCTGATAGCCATGTGTGGTACCACTGTAAAAACATGTTTAAGAAAGGGCAAAACCCACCAGATGTACAAAGAACAAAGAGTGAGAAAGACCAGAGGGAACACCAAGGTCAGAGGAGGAGGTGTTCCGTGGTGGAGCAGATCTCCACGCTGCAACCTATAGAAGACCTATACAGCTGCAGTTGGATATTCCTGAAGGAACTGCAGACCATGGAGACACCATGCTGGGGCAGAGGAAAAGTGTGAAGAAGGAGCAGCAGAAAAGAACTGCTGTGTACTGCCTGTAAATCCCACCTTCTATATCCCCCCCATACTGTTTGGTGGGGAGGCAATGCTGTTTGGAGTGAAGGAGTGAAGACAAGTTTGGGAAAGTGGTAAGGAGTTGTTTTAAGCTTTTTGTTTCTATTTCCCACTACCCAAAGGAGTAACTACGTATTTATTTTAACTGGTAATAATTTAACATAATTTCTCCCAAGTTGAGTCTGTTCTGGTAACAGCAATTGGTAAGCTGTCTTTAATTCAACCCACAAGCTTTCTCAATTCTGTTTTCTACATCTCATCCCACTGTGTGTGTGTGTGCATGTGTGTGTGTGTCAGGCAGAAGCAAGTAGCTGGGTGAGCATTGGCTGTTATCCAAGTCTAACCCACCACAGTCAGACTCAGTCTCTTGAGTATAATGTATTTGATTATCAAAGTTGATGATCAAATTTACCAACCTGTCTAGGGGCAGAAGCTGTACTGAAAACTTACTCATCAAAATCTGAGACATTAATTGGTGTTCTGTCAAGAAAGCTTTCTCTTCCATATTAAAATACAACTCAAATTTTTAAATCTATTTTATGAACAACAAAAGCAAATGAATAAATATTTATACATTAGGATACATCAGGCCCTTGATGCAGAAATGATCTACTCAAGTGCATCTTCAGTCAAGAAGACAACAGAGACTGTTTTATGTTCTTGTTTCTTTTTACTTTCTTTGGGTTTTTTATACATATTTCATGTTTATCTCAAATCTATTTCCCAGTTAAAAAGTGATTACAACTGAAATTTTCCATCAAACTTTCCTTTTAGACCATGCGGCATTTTATGACAAAGGATATTTGCTTTGTAAAAGTTCTGACCTGGTTTACAGTTTAGTGATGAGAAAGAGTATACATCACACACATTCAAGGTAAAAAAATCAGTGAATTTTTTCTTGCAATGTCAATGACTTTTGAGATTGACTTGTGGACCAGCGATGTTATTTGCTTTTATTTTTATCAAATATTTATTTATTTATTTATTTGTTCTTTTTAAGCTAAATAATATTAAAAAACTTGAGAATATCAGCCAAATTACTGTGGAAGGTAAATGAAGCCTTCTCTTGAGAAAACAGAAATTTCACTTCCTACACCCGTTCTTAAAAAAACCCCTTTTACTAAACATCTATAATATGTCATGACTGTAATAAGCTTCTTGATTCTTCTTATGAATTCTAGCAAGCTTAATTTAAAAAGAAATTTTTTTGATGCTCTTGGCTCATGACTTGCTTATGAATACAATCTATTCAGTGCTCATTCTTCTCAATCTGCTTCATTGTACTTTTCCCCTCCTCACACAATTATAAGAAAGAGATCTATTGAGAGCCCAGGTTGGACGTAATCATTAACTATAGAGAATAAGCCTAATGAACTTCATGTGGAAGATGAAAGGTGATATCAACCTTGGAAATTAGAGTAATCTCCAAAAGTTGTGTCTTGTACTAGTTTCAGAAGTATTAAGAGCAAAGTTAATGCTACTAGGTCAGTCAGAATTAAATGCAACCCACAAATTAGCAGCTATTACCATTGCAAGGTTGGAAATATCTGAGCTAGAAAGGGCTTCAAACATGAAAAATTGATAAAATTCTGCCAAACAAAGCATAGAAGAGAATTCAGGGATCAAAGAAAGTAAGTAAAAGAAGTCCTTATTTTCCCTTCCTGCCCCCCAAAAACCCAAAAGCATAACTAAAAAACTAAAAGCAAAACAAAACAGCTCAGGTCATCATTAATTTAAGAATCCCCAATGAAATAGCAAATGCTGACATGAGCCACAAAAGGTGAGAAATACATTTTTACATGTTTGGCAGCTTCTGCAAGTGGGCACTGGTAGTTCCAATAGCCAGGATCCCTGAAAACATCCTGAGTAGATCCTTATTATGCAGGTAGGGTGATAAGAAAGAGGAAGCAACAGAAATTAAAGGGGTTAGTAAGGTTTTTTTCTACACAAATTCAACAGAAAGTATCCTCTACCTTTGTGTTTTCTGTCAAACTCATTCTGTATGTCTGAAAGATGATAGTGCAACAGGAAGAGGGCAATTAATTTCTCAACAAAAATATTAATTATGTAAATACTTGTCAAAAAGCTTTAGGTGTATCCAAAATAATATATATGAAGCAATGCCATATACTACCATGTTTTTTCACTATAAATGGCTTAAGATTGTGTAATATTTTTATTATAATCACCAATATCACCATAAATCTGATTTGTATGATATTGTCTTTCTGCAAATAAAGTACCTGAAAACATGTTATAATTAGGCTTCCAGAACCTAGGGAGGAACTGAAGTCTAGCAAGGACAATAAGTTAAAATTTACCATTAATTCTTTCCTGGCTGCATATGCCTCTATTTCAGATTATACATCGTTTATTTATTATATATGATGTCAAAAGTAAAGTTGTGAGATCTTCTTCATCAAATTAATCAAGCTTTTATCTAATTTTAACATCAATCATCAAATAATGTTAATGATAATGTTTGAGAGCTTTAAATTTCATCTCTATTCATGATTCTTTCTATATTGTCATGTAAAATTACAGTTCTGAAAGCAATTCCTTGGTTTTATGAGTGAATAGTTAAATAATTTGGGTTAAAGTTGGAATATTACGCCCCTCAAAATGCCAGAACTTAGTATTTACTATTTTATATCCTTAGAGAAGAAAAGAATGAAAAAAAATGCTGGAGTATGAAGCCAAGAAAAATCCAGCTGTCACTTTGAGTAATGCCTGAACCCTTTGTTTAAGCTAAGGAGGAAATTTCAGGGATGGGTGAGAAAGTAAAATAAATGAAAACTGACATTCATCAGCTAAGTTGTGAATGCAAAGTACACTACAAATCTTTTTTAATTGGGTGTGCACAACAGTGTTTCAAAAGCTAACAGGAAATATAAAAGCATGATGTAGTAGATAGTAATTTAAAGAAGAAAAACAGTTTAGACCAGTAGGTATAGTTACAATGTTCAAATCCAGTTTTGTGTTAAAAAGGAATTTTAGTGGTAATTAATACAACTGTTCTCCATTGCAAATATAAACTTACAGTACAGAGATGATCCACTTTTATTCCAGAATGTGGCATTGGTATGAATTTGAGCTTGAAATGGCAAAAAAAGTTTAATTTTCAGACATAAATATGAATTTATGTATAATCAAATAATTACTCATTCAAATGACTTATTAAAATTCCTGCAACCAATTTTGTCTCTGTAGTTGGAATGATTTTGTGAAGATTTGAAAAAAAGCATAACAGATACACTCACCATTTTCTTGTTTCATTAAGATTTATACTATAATGCCTTACTGTATAGACACACAGATATAACCCCCGACAAATTTCCTAGCCTTCAAACTTAATATTTTGCTGAAACACAAAAAACAAATGGTTTAACATTTAAGCTACTTTGTTAGCTTGACCCTTTTCAAGTGTGTTTGCCAGTAAAACTGTCTTTCAAAGGTATAATGCCACACATTAACCATCAATGATGCACAAGCTTTTATTCTAAGTATTGTTTAACTAATTTAAAATTTTCACTGAATTAATTTTGACTTTAACATGGATGGGAAAGGAGTTGGGTAAAAGCTTTTTGTTTTGCTAGACTTGTTTGCTTAGAAAATACCTCATGATTGGGCTGCAGCCCATAAATATGATTGAACAGGTTTTTAGATAACACAGAAATAATCACCACATAACCACAGTAACACTAAGCTGCAAGCTGCAATCCAGGTAAGAAGCTAAGTCAATACAGCTGATGTTGGCTTTGGGTTTCTGAAGATCCCTCACTGTGCTTTTGGATGTTATGATTCTATACATATTTCATGGTTAGGCTGAACCCTCTGTCTACATTTTTATCCTTTTGGATAGCTAGCTTTAGCCTAAGAATATCTATACAAACTTCAGTCCATGGATTTACTTCTAGAACTGACACATTTTCTGCAGCTCAAAGTGGTTCTAATAACAAGCACTTCTCTAAAAACCCAATCAAGAATCTTGTGTTGTGTCAGATATTTAAATACCTGAGTGAGATAACTAGTTTTTTTTTTTTAAAAAAAAAAAAGAAATCAAAACGAAATCAAAATCAAAACACTCCAGAGATCAAAGACCGCAGTCATTTTTTGAAACACATTTATGATGAATATAAACACATTAAACAACTAAGGTTCACATGAAATTCCATTTTTTTTAATACTGTATAAAGGACATAAAGAATTAATCCAAACAAAATGTTCCTCCTACAAATAATTAATGAAAAACCAAAGAGCTAGCCAATTCTGAATCAACAGTAGAAAAAGATCAAAGAGTTGAGAGGATTTGAACCATAATCTCTTTGACTCCCATAAAATACACTTGAGCTAGAAGCCACTCCAAATGCTTTATATCATATCCACCATTGTATTGAATAATTACTCTAGTACCTTTGTCCTGTTATATTATTTTGTCTTTTTCTCAGGACAAGAGTGCTTTGTCTCTCCTGTAATATGCAGCCAGGTCATACAGACTTGTACTTTCTTACAAAAATTCACAACTGGCCCGTGCCAACCAAGGGGAAGGGCTAGGACACAAAGTACTGATTTACAAGAGTACATATTTATTCATGTTTATTCATGCACATGAGGTGTCCCAGCCATATTGGAGCCCCCCAAATGTGATTTTATACAACTTTATTATACCCTTCAAAGGTTCATGTACAACGTGTTTTGACTCATCAGTAACACCCATGTTACCAATTACTAGTCATAGTAAAACTTTGCAGAGCAACTATATTTTTGCAGCATTCTTGCCACTTGTCTATTGATCCAGACATTTGTGGAGTCAGACTTTCTATAGTTCCTTATCTATGATGCCAGACAACACTGGGAGAGTTTCAAAGATGTGTTAGAGGGGCTGGGATGCTAGCATTATCTTGGTTGTCCAGAGGTATCCTTTATCCTTCGTGGACAGCTCTAAGCTTCCAAGAAGCAAAATCCTTATTTCCCAGTCTGGACTTCCCTTTAGTTTGCTTTGCTCAAACATCAACAATACCAAAGTCTTCAGGAAAATTCCACTACCTCATTACACTACAGTGTATAAAGCAAATTAATACATTTTAACAAAGTTAATACACTTTCATATTATAAAGACTGATTGATATAATGGTTAGTGAAATGGATTTTTTAACAACTTGCAGCAATGGAAGTTGTTGTAGCTTAGTTTTACAATGTTTGTAACTTAAAAACTTATTTTGAAGGAAGACTACTGTGCTTGACTGTTATCTCCAATAGAGCCGCCCAAAATACTAAGTCTTAAGGTAGGCCTCTGTCCTGCTGCTATGTTAATTGCATATGGTTAGACAGCTTTCAGACCAAGGAAGCTCAGGGGGGTTTTTTGTTGTTCCACGGTTTACATAAAGAAATGTGTACCTCATTAGTTAAGATCATCTAATTGAAAACAAAACCTGTCAGATCTGAGGACAGAATCATGAAAAATGTGCCAGTGTATATGCATGATCATGCAATGTGCTTGAACAAATCAGTCATACCTGAATATGAAATGGAATATGAAATAGCCTGGGCTTTGTTAACAGTATATGGTAAATTATAATAGCATGAATAAAACAGTTTATGCAAAGAAAGATTTAACAAAAATAATTATGGTTAAAATTACTCCAGTATTGCAAAGACATATTAATTGGAAGGGTGTTTAAGACATTAGCTGAATCTGCAACGTCTTTCTAGTATAGTTTCTAATCAAAGGTGTATTTTTACAAAATACTGCAGAATTCTAGGTGAATTTAGCATATAACTACTTGTTGCAGACAAGAAAAGATTCTTGATAAAAACTTTTTTTTTCAGCACCTTGCCTAACAATCAAAGATGGGAAGAATATGGCCAACACTGAATTTCACACCGAGATTACATAGGATCTTTCCATTGCATTGACTGCTTTTGAAAAAAGGCAGAAGTCATGAATAAAATCTTCTACAACTACCTGAAAGGAGGTTGTAGCGAGGTGAACAAGGTGAACTTCTCCCAGGTAACAAGTGATAGGACAAGAGGAAATGGCCTCAAGTTGCACCAGGGGAGGTTTAGATTAGATATTAGGAAAAATTTCTCACTTGAAGAGTTATCAGGCACTGGAACAGGCTGCCCAGGGACATGGTCGAGTCCCCATCCCTGGAGTTATTTAAAAGACAGGTGGACGAGGTACTTGGTGACCCAGTTTAGTAGTGGACAGGTAGAGTTGGACTTGGTGATCTTAAAGGTCTTTTCCAACCAAATTATAAATGATTCTAAGTTTGAAAAATGAAGTTAATGTTTGCACATGTGCAACAATATCATAAACATGTACAGAGTATGTTGACTGTCTCTAGTTGCTTACAATGAAACATTCTTGTTTCAGGATTACAGCGAATTCCTTGTGCAACTAAGTGCATAGAGAGTCATCCTTCCGTACAAGCTGGAGAGCTTCAGTTAAGTCATTCAGATCACTTCTGACCTATGTCTAAAACAGATGAAATTCATACCACCAAATTTGAAATATTGCAATTAATACCTAAGACTCTAGACTCCAAATCACTCTGAAAGTATTTTCACGTATGAAAGAAGTCATATTTACATAAAATGCTTTAAGTATATAAATTTATACTTATAGGAATAAACAGAGAGAAAAAAGTGTTCTATAGCTTTGGCACACAATTTACTCAAACTGCAACATTCACAGCATCTCTCCACCTCAGGTTCAAGATCAAGGGTTTGGGATTTTTTTGAAATAAAAGTCAAAAATGAGTAAACATCTTCAAAAATGAGAACAATTACGGAAAGAACATACTGGGATTTTAAAAAAATTTTTCTTTCTTAGTTTTTGTGAACAATTCAACATAAAGCTTCATTGCTTAGGTATTTTAAAGTTAGGACTTGAAACACAGTGGAAAAGAGACTGTATCTTTCTGTGAGAAAATGTTGAAAACCCACCAAAAATTGTATTATTAATATAATAAAATTGATATTAATTTTTAATTAAGTCACATTAAGACTGTAAAGACAATTTTCTGGTATTTCCTAATGGGTTAACACTGGGCATGTTTTTGTGTATATTCAGGTATGTGTATATTCTTCTGTACTGCAGCAGTAATACTTTAGGCTTCAGCTCTTTTTTCCTAAGGCTTGTATGAACACATGGAAAAATAAGTCCAGTGTAAATGAATTTACTAATTAATTAAGGTTTTGATACTACAACTAGAGTAGCATGTTATTATTCCAATTTGTAAACACTTATTATAAACTTTAACAAGCCAAACCCTATGTATGTGTATTCCCAACTCTAACAAACCTTTTGCTAAAACTAAAATATCAGTCACAGATTGATATGTGAAAAAGAATGTCCACTTAACTCTTGATCTCTTAAATAGAAATAAAGCTTCATATGTATGTCCTCCAATTCCTTCTTCAGCCATGAGAACTGTACACAAAATTTCAACTACTCATGGAATTTCAAGGCGTTTTCATTTAGTTGTAAATATCTTTGTGCATGAATATTACAAAGTTTTTAAGAGGCATTATTAGGTAGAAAACACTGATATTAAAGCTTACCTGAGACCATCATAGAGTAAGCAATACCACACATTTTCCTCCTTTGTGGTTGCCTATTATGGTATACCATGGAACAGGAAGGAAGGACTTTGTATAGCATCTGGATAACATGGCAATCACAAATTCTAACTTTTTCAGTAAATTTAGCAAATGTGATCTAAAGCACTTGTGTTATAACATGCAGGTCATTTCAATTAAAATATAAGAAGAAACAAAGTGCAAAAATCCATTAAGTTTATTTATAAGATGCAACTATCTAAACTGAATAAGTCAATTCACTTTCAGAACTGTAAACTCAATATATTTGTAGCCAAATATCTGCTGCTGCTTTGGTCATATTGTTGTGCAAATTTCATTGAAGCACATCAAACAAATCTGGCACAACACAGCTTTCACACCGGAATACCATTAACTTTATATGAACAGAAGTGCTTAAATCCTATTAATATAGATCAAAATAATGTGCATAGAGAATTTTCACTCTGGATTTTGTAGATGATTCATCTTGCAAATTCTGAGCCAGACCAGATCCAGAAACAAAAACTTATAGGTCCATAAATGCAACATGACCAACAGATTGGTAGCAGTTTTCACATCACTAAAATGTCATGCATAGTAAAACACTTCTCAGGATTTCTAAGATTATGGAAGAAAGGCAATGTATAGTAATGAAGAATTAGCATATCCCTATGAGATTATCATAGCATTCATGCTATATTTTTGTAAAATCTGTTAGGGGTTTGGGGGATTTGTTTTTTTGTTTCCTTGTTTTGTTTTTTATATTTTTTCCTCTGTACTATTTTAATGCTGATTGTAAGGTGTTGCAAACTATTTATTGTGTGATTGTTTTTCTAATTCACAATACTTTAACTGAGTTAGACGTCCCTAACAAATATGATTACAAGGACAATTGCTACAGAGCAGCTTTCTTATTACACAAATAAAAATGGTGGAAGATCGCCTGATAAAATGTGACAGCATAACTAGTGGTGCATTGTCCCTGCTACCCAACCGACTCGTGGCAACATGATCTGGAGAAAGTCTCTCCCTGTACCAGGCTTGATTAATTCTCTGTAGCTGGGCAACGGAGTAGGTCCAGAGTGACAATGACTTTCCATAAGAGATATAAACAATCTCAGATAAATTAGTTGCTATGTCCATTGTTTTACTTTAGGATATTTTCAATATCTTCATTATCAAAAGATGAGCTTAGGCTGAATTTTCCAGTCTAGACAACATAACACATGGAAAAAGAACCTGGTAGACTAGACAGACTAAACCAACACAACAAATACAAGTCCAGAAGTCAGATTGACAGAAACCTTTCCTAAGACTTTGTCAGCACTTAAAAGAATTGCTACAGAAAATGGATACTCCTACAGACCCAAGTTTGTAATCCACAACCAATACCAACCTAGTTTGGATAACCATAAAGCTACTTTTGTTTCAGCAACAAGTGCAAACCCTTTCCCAGCAGTGAACCACATTATTATCTTTTCAGTAATGCAGCAACAGGTATGATATCTCCTTCTCAATATTTACTGTCTCCAACATGCATACCTTTTGTCTGCATCTGTGAGATCCTATAGACTTTATCTCCTTTACCACCACCTTATGAGGACTGGTTGAGTAATACCACCCTTTATTACTGAGGCCACATAGCTCATTTAAATTGACTTCCTGAGTTGCTAATTCCCATTTCTTTCTTGGATTATTAAGTTTCCTCAAGTCTTTATTGGCTTTTGACAATGTTTTAGTTTAATTTTTCAAAAGTACGTGATTTATTTTGTTTGATTTGGTTGGGGTTTTGGGTTTTTTTTTTAGGTTTCTGCTATTGATTCTTAAAAGACCATCTAAACAATTCTGTGCCATCCTGTCTTTTGGCATTAATTATATTTGCTGACAAGCTTGTCATTGCCAGAAAATCTGAATGGTGGCAGATCTTGGCTCATCAGAGTGCTGTTCTACATTACCTGTATCAACACTGATATGCCTGCCAGCACTGTAAACTCTAGCTGTCTGCTCCTAATTTGACTACTAGATTAAAATCCATTAGATCATGAAAAACTAATCGCAAGTCAGTGAATACGAAATACCTTACACAACTAAGTCATAGACAAAGGAAAAGAGAAATTTCCTCTTAAAACCTAATGCATACTTCTATAGTACCTTTGTATATTGGAACCAAGAACCTAGAAGATCAAGTCTAGCTATCCACTCTAAAGTGAGCAGAAAACCAATTAAGGCCAATAAATATCTTATAGTCAGAGTTTCGATTAAGTGTAGTAGTACAGCAAGCTAAATCTGTAATTTTCACTTTAACAAAAGTTTTACTTTTTCCATTCTTATCCATGTGTGTTAGCTTTGATAATCTTGACTTATTTTCCATAATGCTAACATCCTCATTATTTTTAGTGTTTTTAAATGAGAATCTGAAAGTTCTTCTGGTTTAGGAAACATTAGCAAAACCAAGCTCAAAAGCTATTCAACTTACAGTAAGATAAAGGAAGTGTTTGAATAGAAATGCTTGTTCGGGGATTAGTTTTGTTTTTGTTTTTCCCCCGTTTGCTTATGCAGACATGATTTGTTTCTTTTGCCCTTTACATAACACTTATTCAAAGCACTATATTCATTTAAGGTCAATATTCCTTGTTTGATGTTTCTTCCAAATGTAGCATTACCAAAGTTCGTGTGTGAGGTCTAGACTGTCTACTGCATTAGGTAATTGTGAATATACAATTTGAATATTTCTGTACTGTTCAGTACAGATGAAATCTTTACCTGAAATCATAGCCAGATAACTTTTCCATTCAGTTAATACTTGGATACATAAGTATAATAGTGTGATGGTAGGAAAACTCATCTGTGAATAGCAATCCCCTAACATCATCTATACCAGCCATAAGTGTGACTGTTCATCTCAGATTTTTCATGGGGAGATGTAGGATGTAAGAAGTGTAGAAACCAAATGGGCGGTAACCGCAAGGTTAAGAAGAGGAGGAGCAAGAGGATGTCACTGTGACCACACAGTGACTGGCAGGACTGGGGTGTGGCTTTCCTATAAAGTTTAGGGCTTGAAAATAAACTGCATCACTGGGAGCATCCATACTGTGTATGCTGTGTTTCCGTGACCCGCAGATGGCAGGATGTCCGCGCGATCCTTCGGGTAACCTTAAAGTTGATGCAAGAACCAACAACTGGTGCCCCCGACGTGATCGGCTACTCGTGGGACAGGCAGCAGCCAGCTTGCCAGGGAAATGGCGTGGACAGTAGAGGTCACTGTGGCCAAGGTATTTAAGGTGGTGGTGAAAGAAGTGGGTGAAGGACTACATTCTAAACCCACGGCTGCGTGCATCCAATGGTTGTTGCAGCATTTAGTACTTAATACACCTAGTGAGGTTTTAGATGCATAAAATGGACTGAAATCCAAAAAGAACTTTTGGAAGCTGGGAAAATTGGCTCCAAAGAAGATGCTGCTTATATTGGGATGTGGGGTTGATTGGGAGAACTTTGGGAAGCTGAGAGGACACAGATCTGGCTGGCCGCTCAGCGAGTGCTTCGGGGAGAGACTAAAGATGAGGCTCCGGTGCCTAAAACCGCTGAGCAAGCGACACAGAGTGAGTGGGACAGTAGGGGGTATGAAGAGAACAAGGATCCGTGCGCGTTCCCAGTCTGTTTTCCAGGATGCCCATGGAACGCTCTGAATGCGGCGAATGTGGATCTTGACTGGGTTCCAGGCAAGCCGATCCATCGCATAGGACCTGAAGAGCCTGTGGCGCCGAAGGAAGAGCCTGTTGCCCCGATGTCCGCATGGCTGCTGTCTGCTCTGCCAGAGTATCCGAGTGCCTCGGAGCAGGCAGCTGTAGGACCCTGTGCTTCTACGCCGCCTCCGCCTCCTCCTCC